ACGAGCCACTTCATGGGTCAGGCTCAGCCCACGCCCACCCCCATTATAGACTAACACATAAGTACTTTCCAATCAACTGTTTCCCTTTGTTTGGTTTGGAATTTTAGCTTCCACTTAAATTCGTTCATTTGGGAGGGATTTCTATTTGAGTAGTTTTGCTTTTGACTATAATCTCATCATTTTCATGATGGGGCAACCAAATATAAAAAAAAAATTAGTAAATCTGGATGTATTATGTAGACCTTATAATTTGATAGTTTTTCAAGTTTTCTCTTCAAAATACATGCAACCGAACAAATGGGGAAAAACACTGCTATTCAAACAAATGGGGAAAAACACTGCTATTCGTCGCCCAAAATTTATGGGAAAAGCTTAGATTACAAGACTATTTCTTTAAATTCAAGTAACCTTGTGTTTTTTCCACCCATTTCCATAAAGTTTTCTTACTTTAGTTTATTTACCACTTTGAAACCACAAGAGACTATAATTTAAAGAAACCTAATCCAAAGCTTCTGTGAAGGAAATTCCTTTAAACCCCTTTTTATGTTTATTTACTATTTCCTCGTTTTAGATTTTCTGAAAAACAAACCATTTAGTAAAAACTTACCGCAATCTAATTGTAGAGTGGGTAAATCATGTAACATGACGAGGGAGTTCATTCGAGGAAACTAGATCACTTCATGGTGCTCACAAAATTCACTAATAATCATAATGTGCAAGGACTAAAATGTAACTATGCACTTTAATTTTAGAGATTAAGGGGTTGTTTGGATTGATTTTTTAGATAGGTAAAAGGGTGGAAAGCTGCCAAAAATATCAGCTTTTTGGCAGCTTTCCCCCAAAATCACCTTTTATAAATGTTATTTTGGGGGAAAGCTGCCAAAAACTGACATTTTTGGCAGCTTTCCACCCTTTTACCTATCTAAAAAATCAATCCAAACAGCCCCTAAGAGTAACATGTAAAATGCTATGTTTGAGAGTTTACTAATGAAGGAGAAGGGAAATAAAAGAAGAGAAAATAATGTAAAAGAAAGGAAAGGAATGGTAGAAGAAATATAATAATTATTTTTGAAAATTTAGCAAAGGAAATTGAGATGTATCATGATGGTCAACAACAATTCACCTCCTCTACATCCCCAATTTGAGAGTTAATCAAATTATATAGCATAAAGGTTAGATGGCATAAAATTTATTACTTTTCTTTCCCTTCAAAAAAAAAACTCACGAACAAAATTAATTCATTCACATTCCTTCCCCCAAAGCGAAAAAGCAAAAGTAAACCCAAATATCTAAACAGAAATCTTATCTTTCTCTCTCATTCTTCTCTCTCCCTCTTCTCTCCCCTCAGAACGCCTCACCAAAAATGGCATCAATCCCATGTACCATCCATCTCCACATCCCATCATTATCATCTCCTTCAATGGAGAGAACCCCCAGCCTGAGCTCCTCTCCCTTCTTGGCCTTCACGAGGAGGCTGAGCTGGCTGAGACCCACCAAGCTGGGCTCTAAAGTGGGACCCACATCAGGTGGCTCAGGGTCTGGGTGCTCTGGAGCCAGGTGCTGGTTCAAGTTTGGGAGCAGTGGAGTTGATGCTGAAGGTGCAGGGATCTAAGCCAGTCGAGGGATGACTTCGATAGAGATGATGTTGAGCAGGTTATTTCTTTGTTCATAATTTCTCTTTCTTTTACAGAAATTTATTTATTGCTTTTGTGGGTTTTTCTCATAGTTTGAGATAGTCCTTTTTTTTTAAGGTTAGATGATGATTCCACCCAACAATGTATATATCAAAGAAGTTACTAAATTGTTATTTCATAATTTACTAACTCTTGTTCAGTTAAGATTATACAGCCTTCATATATATCCCATATGTTACACATTAATTTACACCTTTTATTTTAATCTTACTTGGGGCCAACATGGGTCAATTAACGTAATCCCATCCCAAATTGTATTTTTCTATTCAATTTATTCAAATGAAAGAAATTGAACATTGTTTCTCTATGTATATGACTGAGATTTTTGTTTTGACGTTTGTCTTTGTTTTACTTGCGGTAACATTTATGTAGCTATCCCTGAGTTCATAAATGCAAGAGAAAAGATTATCTGTTAATCACCTTGTATATAAGAAAATCTTATGGATAATGTTTTTGATCAATGATTTACTGGAATGCTGGTAGTATCTCTTAAAATATGCTATAGCAGCAAAATGAAGACTTAAGAAGAATACCCAAAAAAAAAGTTTGGTTAGTAAGTTTTGATGATGTATGATCCATTACAAGGTACTTTCAAGAATTAAATTTGCTAATAGTCTTCTGTTTAACTGCTGTTATGCTCATAAAGTAGATTAAATCTTATCAACTTACCTACTTCTTTTAGACATCTTCCCTGTCTACGGAATTTTTGAGGCAAAACTTAATGGTTTCATTAGCTTAAGCTGTATGAACAAAATTAAAAAGTTCGTCTAAGGATTTATAAAATGGTACCTTTTCTGCTTACGGTCATCTCCGCTATGAATCTGACATTACCTCATAGAGGACTGATTTCAGATGGACTCTGGTTATGTAACTTTAGTGACATTGTTTTAGGGCAAAGATTGTTGGAACTACAAATGTAGTTGCTACATCATGAATGTGTTTGAATTGATGCCGTTGGAACACTATGTAGTTCTAACTGTATCTATGAGTGTTTGGTTGGATGTTGTTGCAACATTCAAATATGCTCAAAATGTGAGTGTTGCATCCACGCTCAAATTTTAGAGTGGTGCAACACCATTTGAGTTGCAACTACATTTGATATTACAACATCCTCTAACCAAACACACTTACGGAGCTTTCTTGGCATCCAGTCATGCTCCATAGATGATGCCACAACAAAATAACTAGTGAAAATGTTGTCTCATGTTCCTCTCATCAGCAACAAGAGTATAGTATATCTGATGTGAGATGCTAGTGCTAAAAAGAACATTCCTTAAAATCTGGATGGGTTTTTTTTTTATTTGGGTTTTAGTTAATTATTTTGACGAGGCCGTCGAACAAGTGAATTTTTCTTCCAACAGCACTGATCAATTATCACAGAAAAGTCCTCCTGAAACTCCTCATTACAGATGAAGAGAATCAAACTTAAGATTTCTTATTTAAAACAATAGTGGTTTGGCCATTTCGCCTATGTATTTTAGGTGCAGGATGGCTAGTTGATAGGTAGTTGAAGTAAAATCTCTTCTTTTCTTATAGCAATTGAAGTAAAATCTATGACATGCAATATAAACACCTAAAACCACTGATCAAGGAACAATGCTCCAAACTCCCATACGTGTAGAAGTCTATAGCAGAAGTAAATATAATAAAATTTACCCAAATTCATCTCTGAGGTACAACATTCACCCATAAACCCAAAGGCTGAACTAAGCCACATTCTACATATTACGAGCAATCATATGATTGCTAATAATTTTTATCGTTTGACCATCGATCATGTGCCCCGCATGGTTAATGACTTGATGTCTCATACTCAACTTCCTTCATATATGAAAACTTCCACAAAGTCTGCCACAAACTATATCCTTATTTGTATGTCTTTAGATCTCTGCTTATTCCTATTAATGATATTTTCTTTAAATGAGTCTGGTTTTCATAAAGTAGTGGTCACTCCACTACTTTTTTGTAGTGGAGAGGATCCAAATTCGGAGCAAATCATGATATAGTTTCTGTTCTGCAGTACTTCAACTATATGGGAATGCTCGCAGTTGAAGGTACATATGATAAGATGGAAGCGCTCTTGAATCAAAATATTCACCCAGTAGATATCTTGTTGATGTTAGCAGCATCCGAAGGTGACAAACCAAAAATCGAAGAGCTTCTGAGAGCGGGTGCAAATTACGATGTCAAAGACGCAGATGGAAGAACAGCTCTAGATAGAGCATCCAGTGAAGAGATCAAAGAATTCATTGTTGAGTTCTCTGTACAAAAAGCTTGATAACATCTGATATGATTCATGTTGATTCCAGTCTTGTTTTTTCTTGTGAATTCAGCTTTTGTAATTTCTTGTGAATTCAGCTTTTGTAAAATTATGTCCAACCTTTTTGCAGAGTAGTAACTGTCCGTGAATTTGGCTTATGCAGAATGAACAAACAACATCTTTGCATCATGTATTTTGTCACCGAGTGTATAAAGGTGAAATATGCCACAGAGTAAAGGATAATTGCTAGAGTTCAACTTTGCTTGCATTGCCACTATTAGCGAGTATTCAGTCCATAGAGGAGTTATGAAACAAATAAGAAGAAAAAAACAGGCGAAAATTCTAATCACACTATATTGGTAGATAGGATTCAACATTTCCCTCCATACTATAGCCAAAATATTTTGACTTTTAAGAATGAACCAACCATAAGCGTGAGAACGCAGATATGACACGTTACCCCATGCATAAGGGCTGCATATACTGGAAACAACAAGAGTACTGCATATAAGAAACAAGGTGCTAACTTCCATGTGTTGCTGAAAATTAGGAGTACCCAGGGTACCATTACCTTTATTTATTTATTTATTTATTTATTTATTTCATTGATACTATATTGTAACTGCTTATACACATCTTAATTTTTCGGCACTCAAGGCATCGACACTCTCTCTCGTTTCCCTTTTAATTTATAAAATATCCTCTACAACACAAAACTGATCTCTCCCTCTGGTTTTCCTTATCCTCTTGTCTATAACAATTTGTTTGTTTTATTATTGATCTACACTTGTATTCCATTCGATCAGAGTACATTTGGTAGATGGCATGTATACCTTAACTTCGGATGGGCACGAAGTGCATGATGTAGCGCAACATTCACAGTTGCTCCCTCACGGAACAGCATGTCGTATAAAAGGCAAACAAACTGAGAGAGATTTTCTTCATAATCATCATCCCAGTCCATCAAATGATCAGTTCCTCCCTGCTCAGCATCGCTGTCCTCCCAATCGCTCATTGGGCTAGATGGGTCAGGCTCTGGACTATCTTGTTCTTCATCCTCAGCTTCTTCGTCTCCAATTACGAATTTGCCATTCTCGGAGCCATTGTTTTCTCCCGGAGCATGAAATCCTGTCGACCGTGTGTCAGGAGCTTCAGCCTTTGATGCAATGATGGCTTTTGCTCCTGAATCGAAGAAAGCTTTTAAGAGGTTTGAAGGTGGGCCACACCGACCTGTGAAGATGATGATTCGTTCTCTCCATGCTCCCACCTGGAATGTCACAAAGGGAAGAGCGAGCAGCAAGCAAAATAGTTATTTAGAGAGAAGAAGAGAGGTAAATGGACTAATTATTTTCTAATAGGGTTAATTGCGGCAGGCTACCTTTATTATCGTTATTATGAACTTAATACCCCTCTAGTTTTCTTATTGCAAATAGACGCCCTGAGTGAAATCTTTTTGACTTTTATACCCTCAGGGGGGGTTATTTCTCACAAACAATTTTCTCTTTCTTCGAAGGTAAAAAGAGCCAAAACTTTTACTTGGGGTTTATCTACAACAATAAAACTAGAGGTATTTAAGTTCAAAACATCTCGACAGGGGGTATATATGTAATTAACCCTTTATAATATCAGCTGATATGCACGTTACAGCTGCTTGCTATCTCTATATGCTCCATGACTTATACCAGAAAAATTACTATAAATGTCACTAAACTATGTCTGTAGGTCATGGAAGAAGCTGAAGCAATATATATTTAATATGCTTCCAATTTTTCTTTTAGAGAATTAGCATGACATACTTGGACATATATTTCTACTAGGTCGGATGCACGTGCATTGCACGTGGTTAAATATTTTAATTATTTTTTTTGAGTTTATTTTTTCATTCTTCACTATAAGTGCATTATGGACATATTGTTTTATAGCTTGAACTTATTTCATGAACAAAAAAGTGAGAAAGTTAATCAAAAAGAAGTTAAATTTAGGAGAAAGTATTATAAAGAACTTTTTGAGAATTTACATATAATAGTACATAAATTTTAGAGTGAAATAAGTAGGAACAATCTACCGAATCCGCGTGCCTAAAGGATAATGATCAGTTGACCGATTTCTAGTCGTTATTGTAGTCATCACCTCAGTAAATTGTTTTAATTAAGTGATACGCACACATGTAGTGGTCTTTCGATATCAGTCCCATAAATCATTAGTATTTTGTTATTAGTCTCTCAAATCTTTACATTTTCATATTATTCCTTCAAATTGTAGAAATGTGTTGATATTAGTCCACATGGTTAACTGGGATTTTAAATGATGGGAAATATTCTATTATGATTAAATTTTTTAAAGAAATTAATAGCTATACTCTCACTCCTAATACCAAACCTCTATACCTGTTAAGCTTAAGAAACCCAATAAAAAAACTAAATCGAACATGTTTTACAACTCGTCTTCTCCAACAGCCCAATAAAATAGCGAACCCATCTTCTTCAGCGGCTCTTTTTATTTTTGGAGGCTATAAAAGTCTATCAGAACTCCTCCATTGAGAGAGAGAGAGGGGGGGAGGAGAGGGAGAGGGAGAGGGAGAGGGGGGGGGGGGGGGGGGGGGGGGGGGGGGGGGGGGGGGGGGGGGGCGGAGAGAGGGAGTGTGTGTGCACGCGCTTGGTGGGTGAATTAAATGAGTGAGGGTATTTTGGTAGCTAGACACCCACGGTTAGTCTAAATCTAACCATGAGTAAGCATATTAAACAATAAACATAACGGAGGGACTAATGTCTACATATTTTTGCAGCTTGAGGGACTAATATCAAACTATAAAGGAACTAATGCCTACATATTTTTGCAATTTGAGGGACTAATATCAAAATATGAAGGGACTAATGTCTACATATTTTTGCAATTTGAGGGACTAATATCAAAATATGAAGATTTAAGGGACTAATATAAAAAATTAATGCTTTAAGGGGCTAATATCAAAAAATCGTATATATGTATTAATATACTTATTAATGTAAATAATTTATGAATAACTAGAATATAGTTTGCTCTTCTAGCAAAAGTGATTCTGCGAATAATGATCATATATGAGTTCTAAATTCTAATATTGCTCCTTCTTGAGCTTGTTTCATCAAATTTCATGATATTTTCTTGTCATTTAGATTCATCCTATTTGACCAAATTTTGTGAATTTTAAGGGTTCTTTTTGTAAACTAATAAACTTTCAGGGGTCTTTTTTAAGTTTTAGTGTTATTTGTTCTATAAACTTTTTAAATTCCTTGTGTTTTATTAAATTAGGGAAGTTTCTCTAAAACTTTGAAACATTTGTAATTCTGAATTTTTCTGCAATTTTCGTAAAATCTAGATTTTTCTAGAAATTTTGTAAAATCTAGGATTTTTCTACAAAAATTTTAATATTTTGAAGTCTTTTGGGTTTCGGTAAGTTCTATGAATTTTTCGCAAAATATACAATTTCTAAGTCTTTTTGTTATTTCTACTAATTTTATAATTTCTTTTTTTTTAAATCTTAAAATTATCAAAGTCCTTTGGGTATTTCCACAAGTTAGATAAGTTTTATGGAGTTTGTATATTTTCTAGCTAAGTTAATGACACATAATTAATATTTGTCTCATTAATAATGAAGATAATTTAGGATGTAAGAATATTTCATAATATCATCTAATTATCCTTATTTTTGTTTTTAAATTTAATTATAAGGAAAAGAATGATAAGATAAAGAGTTCTATTTTTCTACTTGTTAGGCACCAAATTTAATCATTAGATTGTCAAATTTTTAAATCTTTATTTCTTTTCTCTAGTAACTATAAAATTTGTAAGTTCTATGATTTTCTATTTTTAACATATTTAAATGAAATCTGAGCTTGTATACGTATTAATTAGGAGAGGATAGGATAATTAAAGCTTATACCTATTAATTAAAATTAATTATGATAGAATATGATAATAATATAATATTTAAAAGGGTCAAGGGTATTTTTGTCCACAAAGTTTTCACAACCTCCCATTTTAAAGGGTCAAGGGTATTTTTGTCCACATAAAGTTTTTTTCCAAACTCTCACTTTTAAAGGGAGTATTTTTTAAACGGAGAGAGGGAGTGTGTGTGCACGCGCTTGGTGGGTGAATTAAATGAGTGAGGGTATTTTGGTAGCTAGACACCCACGGTTAGTCTAAATCTAACCATGAGTAAGCATATTAAACAATAAACATAACGGAGGGACTAATGTCTACATATTTTTGCAGCTTGAGGGACTAATATCAAACTATAAAGGAACTAATGCCTACATATTTTTGCAATTTGAGGGACTAATATCAAAATATGAAGGGACTAATGTCTACATATTTTTGCAATTTGAGGGACTAATATCAAAATATGAAGATTTAAGGGACTAATATAAAAAATTAATGCTTTAAGGGGCTAATATCAAAAAATCGTATATATGTATTAATATACTTATTAATGTAAATAATTTATGAATAACTAGAATATAGTTTGCTCTTCTAGCAAAAGTGATTCTGCGAATAATGATCATATATGAGTTCTAAATTCTAATATTGCTCCTTCTTGAGCTTGTTTCATCAAATTTCATGATATTTTCTTGTCATTTAGATTCATCCTATTTGACCAAATTTTGTGAATTTTAAGGGTTCTTTTTGTAAACTAATAAACTTTCAGGGGTCTTTTTTAAGTTTTAGTGTTATTTGTTCTATAAACTTTTTAAATTCCTTGTGTTTTATTAAATTAGGGAAGTTTCTCTAAAACTTTGAAACATTTGTAATTCTGAATTTTTCTGCAATTTTCGTAAAATCTAGATTTTTCTAGAAATTTTGTAAAATCTAGGATTTTTCTACAAAAATTTTAATATTTTGAAGTCTTTTGGGTTTCGGTAAGTTCTATGAATTTTTCGCAAAATATACAATTTCTAAGTCTTTTTGTTATTTCTACTAATTTTATAATTTCTTTTTTTTTAAATCTTAAAATTATCAAAGTCCTTTGGGTATTTCCACAAGTTAGATAAGTTTTATGGAGTTTGTATATTTTCTAGCTAAGTTAATGACACATAATTAATATTTGTCTCATTAATAATGAAGATAATTTAGGATGTAAGAATATTTCATAATATCATCTAATTATCCTTATTTTTGTTTTTAAATTTAATTATAAGGAAAAGAATGATAAGATAAAGAGTTCTATTTTTCTACTTGTTAGGCACCATGATAAGATAAAGAGTTCTATTTTTCTACTTGTTAGGCACCAAATTTAATCATTAGATTGTCAAATTTTTAAATCTTTATTTCTTTTCTCTAGTAACTATAAAATTTGTAAGTTCTATGATTTTCTATTTTTAACATATTTAAATGAAATCTGAGCTTGTATACGTATTAATTAGGAGAGGATAGGATAATTAAAGCTTATACCTATTAATTAAAATTAATTATGATAGAATATGATAATAATATAATATTTAAAAGGGTCAAGGGTATTTTTGTCCACAAAGTTTTCACAACCTCCCATTTTAAAGGGTCAAGGGTATTTTTGTCCACATAAAGTTTTTTTCCAAACTCTCACTTTTAAAGGGAGTATTTTTTAAACAATTTGTTAGGATGCACATTGCACAGCCTAATTCTTCAATCCGGGGATGATGTTTTCAATTCAAAGTCAATCTTTTCTTAAAAAAGGTGCGTCTCCTATTAATTTTTAGAAGGTAATCTCGATTGGAGGAGCTTAATGAAAGCATCAACTCTCGAATGAAATAATCTAAGGTTTGATACTTGGAGCTAAAACATAAAATGGAAGGGGAGCTCAACAATACTGCAAACCAAGAAATTTTAGCAAAGAAATTTTGATGGATTTTTTTCCCATTATAAAGAAGGCTTCACTAAACTTGGAGTCAACTCACCATCCAACGAACATCCTCAGATGTCAGATGAACAGAAGGAACCGTACGTCGAAACATAAAGGCACCAATCTCCTGGTTATCCTCCATAACCTTTGATTTATGATGTATAAAGTTAGCTTCATGATAAAAGATAAAAAGATTAAAAAATTCAAATTGGAAAAATGAACTAGTTACTTGAGTTTGGCGTCCAATATAACGATGAAGGACGCCTCCAACTTGAAATTTTGGCCACTGTGCAACTAGATCAGATACAGATGAAATCTTTGTCAAGGAACAAAGGTCCTTCCTTCTACGACCTCGCATCATTGATGATAAGCTAGATTTAACACTAAGAAGAAATTTATCTGCAAGTTCCCCAGGTTCAGCAACCACAAACACATCATTCTGCCAACTGATGGAAACACCATATTAGACAACAATTACATTGAACAACCAAAATTCTCACTCACTCACACGCACACAGGCACACACAGAGGGAGGGAGGGAGTCAGACATGCATGCATCCATCCATCCATGCATGCATGCATACACACATACATACATGTGTGCGTGTCTTGGCAAAGTGAAAAATATCTCACCTTAGTATGGAACCAGTTGAGTCATTTTGAAGAGCCAGATGTATTAGGCCTACTTGTGGCAAGTTTTGTAGTTTCTCATGTAATGAGCGCACATGTATTGAAGGCAGCCTGGAAGCTGACGGAGAAGTTGGTTGTGACATTCCAATTTGATGGCCATCCAAGCTAAGTGGTGGAACTAAATCAATATGATTCCCTCGTCTAGGACCATATTCAGGACTGTATAAAAGTGGACTTGATGGAAAGCTTCCAGTAAATAAGGGAGATGTGAAGGGTGTAGGAACTGTATTTGTTAGCTTAGAAATTCCTGCACTCCTGTTAGTAAGTGACAATTTAATGTGGTTACGAGCACAAAATGTCTCAAGAGACTGGACATGGTTCACAGTCTTTCCAGCATCAGGACTATTAGAAGACTCCACAAGTAGGACCATGCGCCTCCAACCTAATGAAGGGCTATTTTCATCATTTCCTGAACGCGGAAACAAAGAAAAATAAAAATAAAGGTGAAGCAGCTATCAGTTCAAAGTTGTAATTTGAGCCTAACTTAATTCAGACAAGCAAATAAAAAAAACCATCATGGTGCAATATAAACCTGGATGTGAATTGTTCAACTTTGAAGAGCCATAGGTCTTCAGATGCTCAAACATTTTGTCTTCATTCTGGAATCTCGCAAGTAAATGCTCATTGACATTCTTGAATGCTTGAGCATTCTTCTGAATGTACTCCTCAGTAGCTGCTTCCAACTTAAGCCAAATAGCAGGATCAGTCTCATCTAGTTCCATATCACACCGCTCATCAACTGAAAACGTGAAGAAGCCACAATGAAGTTATGTTAAAACAGCAGAAAACAAAAAAACATAAAAACAAGATAATCTAAAGAACAGGAATTGCCCATAGCATGATGAACATGTAACTGTAGCTGAAAGCAAAATGAACAGACGCAACCGGACATCTGTGCATTTTGATGAAGTAAACTTGTTAAAAACAATTGCTCACCTGGATTAAAACGGTAGTACTGCAAGTCGGGCAGTAGAGGTAGTAATGTGTCCAATATTTCCTCAACTCGCTCTGTTGAGCATGCACTCTCGATCAACACTTGTCCTGTATCCAAATAACGCCAACCTCCTTTACGAGCCTGATTTCACCATCACAAGGGACAGTTAGAGAAAATGAAGGAATCTATTTGGGGAAAAGAGCACATCAAGTGACACTAAAACAAGTGATAATTCACAATAACAATCTCGGAACAGAATTTTTTTTTTAAAGCCCGATGTTACTACCTTCCCTTAGACTTCTCGATTGTTCTCACTGTGGTACAATAAAATCTTAGGATAACTTGAAGCATTTAACTATAACTAGCAGTATACAAGTTTTAACGCGTCTCCAGCAACTAGAATGCATGATACGTATCTAAATATCCTCAGACGGTATGGTGAGCACAAAAACAATGGCAACCCTGAAACAAGGAGAAGATAAATATACCTTTGTCGGAACTGAACCACATCCCATTGAAACTAGACAATCGATTTGTGTATCAGGCCATAACAGTTGTGCTTCTCTTATAGCAATACATGTTGGATTGTTTGCTACAATAGCTCCATCCTGCCAGCGATTAACATCTAAAGAAAAAACATATCAAATAATTATCAAACCTTAAACCACTCACATAGAAACTGGAACTCTAAAGATATGAACTAAAATGTTTCATCATTTCATATTTGTATTATGTTCACTGGACAATTTTGCAAGTCGTATGTTATGAAATAGATCAACATTCTCCATTCTATATTCCACTCAAGAAACAGAAAAGTAAAGCTGATTCCTTCGTCTGATTACTGACCAACATATATGTGTACATGCTAAAAATAAAATAAAATCAATAAAAAGAGAGAAAATTTAGCTGACATACTTAGATATCTAGGTAGGATGCAATGAACAATTACCATCTGAATAATCATCAAGATAATATGGCGCAGCAGATGAAGCTCTTATAGCCTGCCATATCCGATGCTTACAGGTTCCCATGAAAGCTCCGCGCCGGATACCAATTTGAGGATTTGGTGAGGTTGTTCCAACTGCACTGATTGAAGGACTTTCAGCCATCATTGATGGCAGCTCTGGAGTGCCAGCTGGATACTAGCGAAATATGGAAGTTGTCATTTACTAATCCAGCAGCGCAATAGCAAAAAACAAAGAACAACTATCACAATATTCACTTCTGGAAGCTGGAAAGTAATCAGTCCGTCGTATATTACAAACATATATCTAAACCTTATCTGTCCAAAGCATCTCAAACAACTTTTGCAATCTTGTTTTCAGTCAATGATACTTTTCATTTTCATTTATTTTCTATTATATACTCCCACATTTTGCTGCTTGCCCATCCCTGTATTCTGCTTGTCATTTATGGCCTAGGTAGAATAGTATGGGTGCTGACACGGACACAGATACGAACACGGGACACAGCAAATTTCTAAAATATAGGACACAGGGACATGATATATATATATATATATATATATATATTCCTTGTCCACGGGACATAGCAAATTTGTAAAATATAGGATATAGGGACACACACACATATAAGATCAAATATTAAATTAAAATATGTATAACATTTGCATGTTTCTTTCTGTTACTTATAACAATTAAAAATCAAGTTAAATCAAACTAAGAATAAGGTTTAACAACAAAAGTTTAGTCTTAACCATATGGGATAATACGATTGGATATTTTTCAAATATTTAAGCAATGGGTTTCAGTTGTCGGGTTCAAAAACCAATTGGCTTTGAGCCCAATATTACCAAAGAGATTAATTTAGGATATAAGTAATAAGGAAATTGGGTTTTTCTTTGAATCACACATGTCCATTGCATGTCCGCGGAGAATCCATGTCTGACACATGTTGGACATGGACACGGCATCCAAAACGCCGTGTCCGGGTAACCTAGTTTATGGCACAGGCACTCCCTCAGGTTTTCCAACATTTCTAGCCTATAAAAAGTTCGTGGCCTTATAATCTTATCAATGTTTCCAAGGCAACCACCTAGATGCTCAGGTGGTCTGTCTAGATAGTTGCAAGGTGTCGGCTGCACTGCTTTGTTCCGCTTAAGCCTTCTCACCTATAATTTTATTGACAGGAGAAAAAAACGTATGCCTGTTTAAGTACAATATGGGTGGTCAAACTCATTTCACCCACTATAACATAGTAATAGCATTACAACATTATTACATAGTCATAGCCTTCAATATCAAGAGCTTTATATGGTGTAGGTACATTTGATACCCAACATTGTAACTATTCCCAATGCTAGCAGAACATTTATCCCCTTAAATTTGGTATCAGCAAACAATTAATGAACCAACCTCTGACAAAAGCAGGTGTTGTTGACCTACAACCTCCAAGGACGTGCGGCCTCCTGTACTAGCAAGCCACTTCTATTAACCACTTCCCTAGAAAAAAACAGAATTTTTCATTCTTTTTTTTTAAATTCTCATCTTTCCTTCTTCTCTCTTGCTTACTTTTCTTAGAATGGTGCATGACTCACACTTTAGGGCGAATGGGTAGTCCAATACATTTATTGCTTGAGTAACTTAACATTGAGATCTTGTTAAAATAAATCAGGAATTAGCAAGTAGATGTTACACAAAGAAAATAATAACTTGATACCTGAGCGTCCGAGTCATTAAGACACCGCCTAGGGAACTAGGTGTTCTCCTATTTACTGAAATTAATAGGCAGACAGGCAAGGATAACCCTCTCAAACTGAACAAGAAATTAATGAAGGAGCTTAGCATATCATTAATTTAACAAGAAATTAAGAAGTCTCACCTAGTAAGATGTCCTGTCACTATTTAATTGTTTCGAAAGGTTAGCATATTATCTCGTTGTTTACAATAAATGCTTTCATGAGTGCATTTGGATGCAGAAGAGTTAAAATTACTCCAAGTATTCATTATTGTGTTTCTTATTCACTGGATTTCCTATTGAGAAAGTTTCTGAGCCTGTATTCTGAAGAACATTCAGGGAGTAATGCTACACAGGGGCATATTCACTTTTACTGTTTCAGATAGATTAATAATGGGAATGATATATTTGGTCTCTTGGTCTATCTGTGCCACAAAAAACTGGCATATACCTTGTTATCTAACTCATTTATCAAAGCTTTCATAGCAGGGTGGAGAGTTGCCTCTTAGTGACATGAGGATTCAGTTGCATGATCAGGGGAAGATTGATTACCCTACCAGGCAAGTGAATATCAAGATTTTACGTATTATTCACTGTTCTTCACAGCTAATTAGGCTAAAGAAAATGGAAGTAATGAAAAGGTTGCTATCAGGTTGATAACTGGTGGCAAATGCTTGGTTAATTCTTTCTGTAGCTTTCCTGTCTTTGTATTAAACTCCACAGATGATTGTCTTTGATGAAGAAGTTTCTATCATGATTTAAAGCTCGCACACACTTTTTCTGATGTACAGAATAGGTATGCCTTGGTGAACTTGTCATAACCACTCACTAAACCAGACTGTTGACAGATATGTCATTTAAAAGATTTATCTTAATGGAGCCATTTTTCAGGATGGCATGGTTCCCATGTACGAAACACCATTTTCTTAAAGAAACATAGAATATTATAATTTATACGACTGAATCAACACAGAACATTGGGAATAAACTAACCTGATAGTTTCTGAACAGAAATGGTTGAGCTGGCACGGCACTGACCAGTGTAGAAACAACAAAGACCTTTGGAATGTTTTTCACAGCAGATTCTATTAGGAGATCACCATCATCATCAGCACACATCTCTTTCAGCAATATTTCAAATTGATCTGCACTGTGCTGCAAGGAAGATCTAACATAAGACATTTCGCAGAATGAAATGAATTGAAAGAAACTTTACAGTCTTCTATACTTTTGACCCATGAACAACAACTCTAAAGCTTTGTGATGAACTTTTATAAAGTTGATCCAGCTTTTCCCTCCAAGTTGCAGCTTCATCTTTTGGGGTTGGTTCAGCAAACACAAGCTTTCCTATGGAAAAGAATCATAACTATGAGGAGGGATAAATAATTAGGACAAATCATGTAAATATGAGAAATTTTAAGGTTCTAGATTAAAATAACCTGTACCTAACTGTTTATATATTTCTTCACACTGATCCAAGGTCATTTGTTTTATTGTAAGAGCAATTGCAAGCATACCACCAGTGGATGTGCCACAGATAAGATCAAATAGTTCATGTATGCGTTTTCCAGTTCCTTGTTCAATTTGTTTAAGCATCTTCACTGTTGACAAACCTTTCATGCCACCTCCATCCATTGAGAGTATGCGAAGTCCTCGCTTACCAATCGGCTTTCCTCTTAATGCTCGACGCAAAGCTTCATTTTCTCCTGGAAAAAGACCAAATTGATAGCAAAATCTACTGAAAGAATATATCTAAAATGTGATGAAAAAGGGGGGGAAAGCATACCAAAGATTGCTAAGGCACGTGCTGCAGCTTTACTCACACGTGTCTCAGCTGTTACCGTCAATCGTAGGAGAAGTTCATGCAAACTCTCAGATTGAGTTAAGATGCGACGATTCTCCAAACAGAAAGCTAAATTACCAACAGCAAATAAAGCTAACCGCTGGACCTGATAATCAGAAAGGGGAGAGAAGTACAGAAAACATATGATATGAATTATGCCAAACAATAAAGCAAATCCTTTGTGAGGAACAACTTAAGTCTGGTTTTTCGCACCTCCGCATTCTTGTGAGCACAGAGTGCTTTTAGTGATTTCAGCACATCTTTTGTAAGCATCTTTTGAGCAACACTATCAGAGGCAAATGCCAAGGTGACTACTACTTGCAACACAGATATGAGTTCTTCTTGGTCAATAGATCTAAGAACAAATTCAACGGGCTGCATGATGTCAGCCTTAATTAACAGCATTGCTAAAGAAACATCTGCTGCTAGGGAAGAAAGAGCAAAACAAGCTTGTTCAACCTGCACCAAGAGATAAGTATTAGAAAAAAAAATTCATGAACAGAGAACTTGAGCTAATACATCAATGCCTATATAATCTAGGAAAGTAATTGCTACTACTTACAACATGGCGATTATCGCTGCTAATCATACTTATGAGCTGTCGTACAGCATTTTCTTCTTTGCTAATGGACATATAATTGCCACGATCTTGCATCATTTTAGCAAGAGCAGAGGCCAGCAAAGGATGATGGCATGAAGAAAAGCGGAAAACAAGAGAGAAGAACGTACTGAGTTTCTGTCTAGATGCGACGAAATAGGAGCTGTTATCTGTCTGCAATCAGCAGTGAATTTCTTAAGTAAACTCATTAAGTGCATGGTAAATGGTTCTTAAATTTAGAAGATAACTTTTTACCTCTATATGCACATTCACAGATTTAAGATTTTCAGTTGCCTCAATTCTGATATTGGCCAGAGATAAATGCCGAAGATTATGCAATGGCAAAATTTCAGGAAGAAACTCAAGAGGATTACCGAAGAGCCTAAGAACACGAAGCTCAGACATAGACCTGTCATACAAATGAAAGATTGGTTTTCAGATTTTGCAGCCCAACCACAAGGTAGGTATCTTTAGACCAAAGCCCAGAGCTTGCTAGGCGCATCAGAAAGAAAACTTCTGTTAAAATAACCTGAAATCCAATAGCGGACGGACAAGTTTGTTATTTTCCAGCGACAACTCAACCAGCACAACACACTGTTTCAGTTCAACTGTTCAAGAATAATGGATTATGAGTAGATGAGATTTGAGGTCAAACTTAAGGTTTACCAGTGAGGAGAACAGTAGAAGCTTTTGTATTTATTGTAAAAGTTTCAATCACATACCAGGGAGAGAAACCAGCATGTTATTGTCAGCATTTAGCACTTTCAAGCTTTTCACTTCACCAAGTTCTGCTGGCAAATGTGTGAGTTTATTGTTATCAAGATATAGCCTCTCGAGTAGTGGGAATCGTGTTAATTCTGCAGGTAGCACCTGCGCAGTTACGACAAAGGAATTTATAGATGATAATGGAAATATGCTCGATTTCACAAACCAACTACTCAGGTTAACTGATCAGCAGCAGTATTTCCACAGCAACATCAAGAACAGAAGAATATAACATCTTTTCAATAGAAGCAAGAGACAGGATGTCTGCTGAGAGAGTAAGTAAACTTCTCTGATAAAAGTAGGTAACAAAGCTATAATATTAGAATATTTGTGTATCAAAATAATCGGTAACACAATAAGGATTACAACCTAATTAACAAGACCATGTCCATACCCATCAAACTGTTTTTCCAACAACACCCTCCTCCACCCCCTTCACAAAGAATGCATAAAAACATTCTGGGGCTTGGGAAGTGTTCATTTATGGTGTCAGAAGAAATGTTTAAGTAATGTGCTATGTTCTGTTACATAACTTGACAAGAGTCTCGCATTATGTAACATGATGAAAAACATAATGCCATGAATTACATGTTAACAAAAAAAAACCTAATGATGTTAAAGGAGCTTCTTTCTTTCTTTCTTTCTTCCTGTTTTTTCAAACGAAGGATGGAACCTCAAAAGATGACACCCCAGCCACTACTACTACACAAAGAGATTGGATACAAACTTTAGAGATTACACCCCCAACCCTTTTGTCGCTGGGTTTTCCTTATATTAAGTCCCCCAAATCTACCTTATTTTCAAGTAAGTCCTCAAATCACAAATATAAGTTCCCCAAATCAATAAGCATTCTTAAATAAGTCTCTTAAATCTCATATATTTAAATAAGTCCCTCCAAAACTACTAATTCCCTTAAATAAGTCCCTCCAAGTTAAAAATTATTAACCTTAAATTAACTAAACTACATTAATCTTCATAATTTTTCCCCCACCTTCCTTAGATAGTTAGGCCTAATACTTGCAACAGAGTGCAATAAAGACTTCATAATTAACAGAAAGTTGGGGAAGAGGCAGAGAGCTGAGCTACGGGGAAGAAATATCTAGGAAAGAGGAGGACAAAACATGTAAGATTAACCGAATTAACTTAATTTAATAGTTTTTATTATAGAGGGACTTAGCTTATAGATTTGAGGCATTTATTAAAATATATGAGATTTGGGGGACTTATTTAATAATATGTATAGATTTGGGGGATTTATTTGAAAATAAGATAGATTTGGGGGACCAATATATGAAAACCCCTTTGTAGTTTCATATTTACCTCAACAGAACACCGCTCCACCTAACATATATTAAACATACTACATAACAAAAAGAGTCCAAAAGATAGGCTATAAAATAGATACACCATATAATTCCAGTTCAATAGGACAATCAGTCCCACTTCCCACTCCTCCATGCTTGGAATATTGAGCAGCTCTGTGCATTCCTGATTGAATCAGCCACCATATCGCTACCATATATGACAATAAACCCCAAATATATATAGGTACTATTCAAACCTTAGTATCTATACAGAGGATGTTAGGTTTTTTGTCCCTAAAAAATACCATGTGCAGGTCATCTAAACATGATGCATCAAACCTCACAGATCATATCTTTTCTGACAAAAGTTCATGATAATTTTTCGATATTTAAAAAATTTATGGCATTGTTTAAATAGTGATGGAAGTTTTGTAAAATTTACTCGAAAATTAATGAACCACGTGTGCCTCGTGAACCATAACAATATAACTCTTCTTTTATCTTCCTTTTATTTTCTATCACTTCTAATCATAGTCGTGATTCCCTAGACCACGTACCCCCCTCAAACAAAAAAAACCGTCGCAGAGTTCATACAAACCGATTCCCAGTACGATTGCGAACCGATTCCGTCCGATACACGAATTTGGTTCCCCAAAATTGGTGTACTGCTACAAGTATGCGGGGCGCAAAGTCTAAGTATACATGTGCAAGATGCAATGCAATGTGCACAATCAAGTAAAGGGATGTGTACAATAGAATATATGAGTCAATGACTTTATTGTAACTAAATACCTATATTAATAAAACATGGAATGATGAAACCTTTCCCAACACGAACTGTGCGAAAAGAAACATAGAAAAAGATGAACTCCATAAAAAAGAATCATTTAAGTATTTTGTATGAAATTTTTTAAATGCATAATTAGCTTTCTAATTTCTACTTTTCTACTATACACTTTGGAAAACAATAAGCGCACCCAAAAAATTTTACAACGTCCCACTGACCGAACTTGCGTACCAAAGCAAGCTACCCTCATTGACTCTAAATTTTCTAAATGGCGAATTGCATACCCAAATTCGTTCCATGATCCGCTAGATACCACGTACTGAGTAACTATGCTTCTAATTTCCACTCACTCACTCTCTCTGCATCCAAAGATATCAATGATCGGATGACTATGCTAGATTAAAATAAATCATTTAGTATGTTTCTACAGTCATATCTTTACTTCAAATTTTATGCTGATATAAGAGAGCTGGAATGCACACTACTCATAGCTATACTAATAAGTACTAGTGGGAGATACTAATTAGGTCAACTATCTTTCTCTCTTCAAATTAGAGTCTTACATGCCTTTTCTACAATAATAATGATAGGAGATAAAATCCAAACTTAACGGCCATCATAAATCGATGTTTCCTGATATCAATTGAGTCATACTCATCAAAATCATCATCAAAATCAACAAAAAATACAAATCAATCCAGATGCTCACCGACAGG